TTCTATCCATTCATCTAGAAGAGCATTTGTGAGGTCAGGCGCTGATGTTGGACGAGAGGGCATGGCTCGCAATCTCCATTCTAGTTCGTCCCAAAGATGTTCGATGGGGTTAAGGTCAGGGCTCTGTGAGGGCCAGTCAAGTTCTTCCTCACCAAACTCACCCAGCCATATCTTTATGGATCTTGCTTTGTGCACTGGGGCACAGTCATGCTGGAACAGAAAGAGACCTTCCCCAAACTGTTGTCCAAAATAATCTCCCTTCACTGTAACTAAGGGGTCTAGGCCAACCCCTAAAAAACAACCCCATAGCATTATCTCTCCTCCACCAAACTTTACAGTTGGCACAATGCAATCAGGCAGGTAATGTTCTCCTGCCATTCACCAAACCCAGACTTGTCCATCACACTTCCAGACAGAAAGCGTGATTCATCACTCCACAGAATATATTTCCACTGCTCCAGAGTCCAGTGGTGGTGTGCTTTACACCACTCCATCTGGTGCTTGGCATTGTGCTTGCTGATGTAAGGTTTGCATACAGCTGCTCAGCCATGGAAACCCATGCCATGAAGCTCCCGGTGCACAGTTTTTGTGCTGATGTTAATGCCAGAGGAGGTTTGTCACTCAAGAACTGGCAGTTATTGGGTTGGCAACTTTTATGCACTATGCACCTGCCACTAAACTCTTCCACAATTCAATAATACCACTCACAGTTGATTGTGGAATATCTAGGAGGGAAGAATGTTTGCGAACTGATGTGTTGCAAAAGTGGCATCCTATTACAGTACCACACTCAAATTCAAAGAGCTCTTTAGAACAACCCATTGTTTTACTAATGTTTGTAAAGGCAGACTGCATGGCTAGGTGCTTGATTTATACACCTGTGGCAATGGGACTGACTGAAATACCTGAATTCAATCAGCATTGAATAAGAAATGTGTCCTAATACTTTTTTCCATATAGTATATCATCCTTTATCATATTCTTCACAAGTGCGGCAAATGGGGGACATTTTGCTGGCCTGGCGTAGGTCCACTTGTCCCCTTCGATAGTCACTGCAAATCAATACAAAGTAATTCTGAGTGGTTGTCTTTATCCTACAATAAATCATTTATATCCTGATGAGAGTAGTCTCTATGAAGATGACAGTACCCCCATCCACAGGTCATGAAGGGTCACTGAATGAGTATAAAAATGACATAACTCATGCTAAGGCCTTCACAGTCACCAGATCTCAACCTATTTGAACACCTACAGGAGATTTAGAATCAACTTGTTAGACAATGTTTGCACCATCATCATCTGAACATCAATTGAGGAAATATCTTTTGGAAGAATGGTGTTCCATCCCTCCAGTACAGTTCCAGAGATGTAGAATGCATGCTGAGGCACACTGAAGCTGCTCTGGTGGCTCGTGGTGGCCCAACACTTTAATAAGACCCTTAAATTACCATGCTTTGTTTGATTCTCTCTCAATGTTCTGAATGCACTTGCATGTGAGCAATCCTTGAGCACAGGAGATTTCCAAGGATGTGCAATGTTCTCCACAAAGTCACACAATGTGCACTTGTCAGCTTCACTGTGTTCACTCAGGTCCTCCTGTTCCTCCACACTAATCCTACAGATAAGTCTCTAATCTCTTACTCCTTAATAACACAGTACAATAAAAAAAAAATAAAAAAAAAGAATGTAGTGTTCTCAGAGAGGTTAATCAGATATTAGCAGCATAGAGGAAATCAGAAATAGAATAATGCTGCGTGAAAATGTGGGATGTACACATGTTCATACTTAATGGTTTTCTTATCCTACATACCAGTGTAAAGCCCATAATATTGCAATTATGTATGCTACACATCCTAAGATCTAACACTTTATCACCAGCATTCTGGGTAGATCATTTCTGCAGATGTTTTTCATGCAGTTTCCTGCTCATTCATTACAGATGCTTGACTAATAACCTCAGGAAGAGAATCAGTCTGAAAAAAAAAAACAGTAATGTAAACGTATCTTGCACTGCTGCTATGAGTATGTTTAATCGGAGCGTGCGGGACTTCTTGAGCTCCGTGGATAATTGCTAGCATGCCCACGCATCCGCGCACACAGATGCCGCTTCAGCCGCACCTGCTGAGCACAGCTAGGACACCTGCCGCACACCCCGGCGCCTCACCTTCCTCAATCTGCCTGCAGTCTCCGTGTTAATCTTTCAAAATGTCTGCCAGAACCTTGTTTTCCACAGCACGAGTCAAGGGTCGTGTTTTGTTCTGCAGAGACAGCCTAATGTTTGCTTGCTTGGAGTCTTTTTCAGAATGTTGCGTCTGCGTGAGCTGTTTGTTTGGGCTCGTCAGCTTTTGTTCTGTCTCTTAACGTGTCTCTCTCTCTCTCTCACTTTCCCTCTCTCTTTCTCTCTCTCTCTTTCTCTCTCACTTTTCTTTCTCATTTTCTCGCTGTCTTCATTATCTTCTTCTCCATTTTTTCATTTCTCTTTCCCTCTATCCCCCTCTCTTTTCCCTCTCTCTTTCTCTCTCCCACCATCTTCTTTCTCCGTCTCTCGCTCTCTCACTCTCTCTGTATCCCTTTCCTTTATGTTTCTGCCCTCTCTCCTGCCATCTCTCTCTTTTCTTTCTCTCCCTCTCCTTTCTCTCTCTCTCTCTCCTTCCTATCTTTCTTTCTCTCTCTTTTCTACTCCCTCTCCTTTTTTCTCTATCACTTTTACTTTCTTTCAGTTCCTTCCTCTTCTCTCCATCTCTCTCACCTTCTCTTTCCCTCTCTATCTCTCTCCATTTTCTTTCTCTCCATTTTTTCTGTCTCAATCTATCTTTATCTTCCTCTTCTGTATCTCTCTATCGTTCTCTCTCTCATCAATGTCTCTTTTCCTATCTGTTTCGGTTTATCTCTCCTCTCTCTCTCCTTTTCTTTCCTTTTACTCAGTCTCCTTCCTCTATCTGTCTTTCTCTTTTTCTCTTTCTCTCCACTTTCTCATTTCTCTCTAGAACTCTAGACCTTTTACTTTATCTCCTTCTTCGTTTCTCTCTTCATGTCTCACGTCTCTCCTCTCTCTCTTTTCTTTCTTTTACTCAGTCTCCTTCCTCTATCTGTCTTTCTCTTTTTCTCTTTCTCTCCACTTTCTCATTTCTCTCTAGAACTCTAGACCTTTTACTTTATCTCTATTCATCCCTCTTCTCTCCATCTCTCTCCTTCTCTCCATCCTCTTTCTCTCTGCTCTTTCTTTACATTTTATTCAATCTCCCTTTTCCCTTCCTTTTTCTCTCCTCTCCTTACACTTCTTCCTTATCCCTGTTCCTCCCAGCTCTCTATCTCTCCCTCTCCTTCCTTTCTTTTTTTCTCTCTTATATCTCTCTCTTCTCTTCTACTCTCTCTCCTTCTTTTCTCTATTACTTTTACTTTCTTTCACCCCGTTTCTCTCCATCTCTCTCTCTCTCAATCTATCTATGCCTCCATCTTTTTTCTTTCCATTTTTTCTGTCTCAATCTCTCTTTATCTTCCTCTCCTGTATCTCTCTACCTTTCTCTCTCTCATCAATTTCTCTTTTCCTACATTTCTATTTCGGTTTATCTCTCTCTCCCTTTCTTTTCTTTTACTTAGTCTCCTTCTTCTGTCTTTCTCTTTTTCTCTTTCTCTCCAATTTCTTATTTCTCTCTAGAACTTTTACTTTCTCTCTGTTTCTCCTCCCTCTTCTTTCTGTTTCTTCTAGACTTGTTTTATCTCCCTCTTATCTCTTATTTTGTCTCCTCTTTTTATCATTTTTCCTTATCCCTGCTCTCTCTCTCTTTCTCTCTCTCTCTCCCTCCCTCCCTTCCTCCTTTCTTCCCTCCCTTCCTCCCTTCTTCCCTCCTTTCTTCGCTCCCTTCTTCTATCTCTCTGTCTCATGAAGCAGACATGTTAGCCCCGGCAGCTGTGATAGTCTTATTCCCCTATTCTCTCTCCTCATTTTGTGTGCCTTCCCATTTTACCACAGACTATGAAGCTTCTTTTCCGGCTTTTCATTGCCTCAGGCTTGTGTTATAAGTGCACTTTCAAGACTGAATGAATATGCTCTGAGATTCAATGTGCAATTTAGAGACATGAAAGTGATATGTCAGCGGCAGAGTACGTCAGAAGTGCTGTTAAACAGAGAGGAAAAGAAAAAGCAGGATGCGCACCTTCAAGTGCATTTGTATATGCGTTAGTATGTGTGTGTGTGTGTGTCTGTGTGTCTTTATATGTGCATACATAACCTTGATATTCCAGGAGGTATTATATGGAGGTGTTGCACTGCTTGACTGGTATTTGAATGCTGACTTTGGGGAGAGCAGAAGCTCTTCTAAAGGACCACATTACCCAAAAGCACAGCAAAAATGCAACGACAAATGGTGTCAGTTGGATTCACTCCAGTCGCTTCTGCACAATATCATCCGGACATTGTGTTCATAATAGAGGGATGCGGCAATGTTTTGTAAAATGTTTTGACGTGAACCAATACAGCAGTCATGGTCATGATTTATCTTTAGATATCAACTTGTAAACAAGTTGTTTATGTACGGAAGAAACTCAGACTGTGTTTGAGATAAGGAAAGTCAAGCAGATGGCAAAACTGTAAAACTTTTAAGCCGCAAAACTTTAAAACAAAAGGAACTTAGTTCATAGTTTCAAATTGAAATCTGCCTTCCTGGATGAGTTCATGTTCACAAACTTTTTTCATAAAAATCATCACTGCTAACAACAATGAAAGGTTTTACAGAATGTTAGCACATATCATATTCAACCTAATGGTAAATTATAGCACACTTTGCTTTTGTTTCTTTTTGTTTTAAAACATATGTTTATTGATTTTTGCAAAACAACACTGGAAATATGCATTTCAAAACAAGAGGATATTTAGGCTCTCAATACACGACCATTTCTAACCTTGTAGTCATCTCTATATTAATGTACAATAAAGGAAAAAAGCAAGAAAAAAATTACATATATATATATATGTAGGGGGGAGCATGGATAGGTTTTACCTTGAAGGAGAGATGTTGCTGTAGTTACTGTCTCAGGGACGCCATCTTTGCTATAAATGGACTGCAGGAACTCTGGGACACAATCATTCTCATCTGTAATGATGACCCGCACCTGGTTAATCATGAGAGAGAGAGAAAGAGAGAGAGAGAGAGAGAGAGAGAGAGAGAGAGACTGAACTACAGTCGACACACATCATTTGATGGTTAATGTTTTCTCTTTGCTTTTGTTATGGCAGTGAAAAGATTCAAGTAATCGTGAATATTTTGCATCGTTAATGATGATAAATCCCTTCAAAAGCAGTGCAAAATGAGCTTTATCACTGTGTATATTATAACTTTTAACTAGGCTAACTGGACATGCTAAATTGCCCCTTGGTGTGAATGTATCTGTCTGTCTGCCCTGCGATGGACTGGTGACCTGTCCTGGGTGTTTCCTGCCTTCCACCCAATGACTGCTGGGATAGGCTCCCGTGACCCAGAAGGATAAGCGGCTTAGAAGATGTTTGTGTATTTTCATCACATAAATGCAGGAATCAAATGAACCTGAACATCTAACTCATGTGTTTTCCATTATTTTCTTGATGAATTCACAAATTCATTCATTGTTTTTCAGTAATTGCTTTTGAGATGTCATGAAAATTCGATGTCACATTTACATATATCCACCTATTTAGCCTACAGTAGTTTAGCTCTAGCCATTCACAGTGATGCTATATGGTATATGGAGGGCTTCAGTTTTTTTGAATAAGGCACAAGACAGGGCAGCCAATCAAAACAGATCTCATTTACATGCATCAGTTTTAAAGGAACAGTAAAAAAACAACCTATTTAATCATAAGGAATAAAAAGAGGCTGGACAATAATCATGTAAAAATGAATTGGTATATCAAACCACTCAATGTTATAATTGGAGGAAAAAACAATGCAAAAAATAGGATATGGGTCTTTTAATTAGTATAGCAGTTTTTATGGCACATTCTAATTTTTTATGTTGTATTGAAAATCAACAAACATGCAGTTTGACTAAGACACTCAAACAATATAATTGTAAATGTACATTTTGTTATGTCAGTAGTATTCAGCACTGAACAGAGAAAGAGAGAGAGAGAGAGAGAGAGTGAGAGAGAGAGAGAGAGAGAGAGAGAGAGATAAAGAAATGGCGATGACTGAGGATGAAAGCAGATAAAGAATAAAGAGAAAAAAGCAGAAAGCCAGACGTCTTTGGTCAGTGATGCACGCACTGAGATTTACGACAGGGCCACATGATCCGTGGCACTGAATAGTGGATAAAAAAGAAATGAAAAAGCATAATTAAAAGGGAAAGGGTGCAGTGGGACCACATTATGAAGTTGTGGTGAATGGCTGTGATTGTGCTGGGGATAGGGGGTGAGGGAGCACAGAGGAAGGATTCATCAGTAATTGTCCCGAGTGCTTACCACACACAGCAAAGCTGCTTTCGCTAGATTGCCCTTTCACTGCTAACCCTGCCAAGCTCAGCTACCCCGCTGACCTAGTACAAAGATTCTTTTTTTGGGACAAAAAAAGTAAAATCACTTAATTTCCACCCTTTGATCTCCCTTTCCATCTCTCTCTCTCTCTCTCCTCTCTCTCTCTCTCCCCCCCTTCTATTTAGCATTACGTGAGTATTCAGCACTGTAGTGTTAATGCTCATGCCAGTAACATCATGCTTTTCAGAGTCAGCAGTTCAAGCATTTGTGCTTTTCTGCTCTGCTCTAATTCAAGCAACCAGCTTCAGGTTTCCTCCACTCTATCAGAAAAAATCCATAAATGCACGTCTATTTCTGTGAATCCCAAACTAACATTTACTCCCACTGAAGCCTCTTTAAACATCACACCTTTCATAGAATGTAAAGATATCTCACTATTAAACTTGACAGCTGAGTTTACACGAGCACTTTAATCGTGCCTTGACTCATTTATGTTGAGCTGAATTCATTTACTTGCGCAAATCACAGTAATAAACTTAACTTACAGAGGGGAAAAATATTCAGCTGAACTAGACTGGCTGGGTTCTCACAGCATTAGTGGGAAAAAATATACCGCACAGGATCTGTGTCAGAAATGCTGGAATTAGTTCTGAATTTAATATTCAGTGTGTTGCAAGCTGAAAAAAATAAATATTTCCCTATATGAAGGTCTTTCTAGCAATACTCTTTAAAATAAAGGTGCCAGTATGGGTTCTTTGGAGTGATGCAATAGCAGAAGTGCTGTTGGTTCCCTAAAAGACCTTTCAAGCAATGGTCCTCAAACTGGCAGCACCCCCCAGATTTGTGCTCTGTGTCTTCTCCATGTCTATGTGTTGGCTGGATTGAACAAAAATGTGGGCCGGCTGGGGGGCTGTAAGGACCAGTCTGAAAAGCACTGCTTTAAAGAACCATTTTTATTAATGATATTGTAAAAGATCATGTTCATGAGTGTTCATCTGAACCCAAAAAATAGCCAGAGAATCTTCAGTAACACTTTATTTGAAAGCTGCCTACATAAGGATGTCATAATACATGTATAAGCATTGTATAACATATTTATAGCACAATACTTGAGTATTTATGAACAGCTTACACCAGTAATCGCAAGATACCATAAGCTGAAGTAAATAACATTGTTTTGGCATAAAAGTTTTATACTTCAACTCATGTAGAACTCTGTAGAACTTATATAAACTTCTAAACTACGCCTTCCTTTTAGGTTCTGTTACTTAGGAAATGGTGCGTTATAACATTGTTATAAATGGAACAAATGTCCATTAAGGTTCCTTAATGTCATTTCCTTCTATCATCTTGCAGTTACTAGCATAAACTGGACATAAACACTCCAATATTTCCTCATAAATGTTTTTGACCGCTTATACACCATGTCTGAGCCTGATCTGACCTAATGCACAGTTTAAGGTTCTTCATGTCAACGCTATGTCATTTACTTCATAGAACATCATGGCATCTTATGGTTAATAGCAAAAGCTGGTCATACACACTCAAATATTGCTTCAGAAATTGTATTGAGTGCTTATACATGTGTTATATAGTGACTATGTAGGTAGCCCTCCAATAAAGTGTTACTGAATTTTCTTTCTGAGCCCGATCTGACCTGATGCACAGCATCCAAATTCAACCCATGTCCAATAAAATTCTGTCTGAACCCGACCCGAACTATCAAGATTTGATTTTGAGTTCAAAACTGACCCAAGCTGACTTTTGGATAAGCTTTCCATACTGTGCTGTTCTCATGCTGTGATGATATAGTGAGATGTTAGCCTTCACTTGTTTAATCCTACAAATCTACTTCTTTACATATAACCTATTAAACACATTACATTAAAAATACCTTCAGGCAAAATAAATTAAACATTCATTTGTAACCTATACCTTCCTGAATTGATTACTGCACATTCCGGCTCATTCATTTTCTCCTGAGCGTGAGCCTTGTGGACCTTGGTGCTAAATTATGTTTGTAATTCCAGCATCGCAGATTGAAAACCTTTTTAGAGCTGTTGAAAGTAGGAAGGAAGAATAAAGTAAGAAGTAACAAAACCGGGAAATACAGGTAAAATCTGTTAAAGAGTAAAACTAAATGGAGGGAAATGGAGGGTAAACCTGTAATAAGTGGAAGGTGGGCTGTAAGAACCCAAAATCTGAACCTGAACCGAGTCTAAGACATATTTGGAAATTAATGTCGAAGCTCAGCTGAACCCGATCACACCCAAGTGAACCCAACATTGGGTCCCTATAGGCTTGGAAAAACATTTCAAGCTCTAAATGATGTGTGAAATTGAAGAACCTTTTTAAAGTTTAAGGAATCTACAGCTTTCTGCAGCAATCCATTTCCCCCTAACTGAACATCTAAGACAAGAACCATTTAGAAAGCTTTATGTTTAAGAGTATATGTGTTACCATGTTAAAAGGCCCACATCATTTTTGTGTTTTATATTTGTCTCTACGGTCCTCTTATGACTTGTGTGGTTTTATTCACTAAAACATAGCCCTAATTCATTTTAACATGACCAGTTTTCCAGCGTCTCTATATCCCTTAGAACAGGGGTCGGCAACCTGAATGTTAAGAAGAGCCATTTTGTCCTTTACAAAAATCAAACCACCTTGGGAGCCACAACATTTTATGTCCATTTTACTTACTTACTTTGCTCTGCTATAAGCTTTAGCTCAACTATAGCTGCTTTTCTTGTATCTCCAACAGGAAACTTTTGCACAAAAATAGTGTAACATGAAAATTCATATAAGAAGCTGGTGAAAGAGAAGTTGACTTCAGCTTTGTGACTTTTTAGTGTTTGACAGTTTCTTGTTGTAGATTAAACGTACAAAGAAACCAGCTGGAGTGCTTATAAATGCAAATAAGTCCATTTGTCTCCAAATTATCAATTCGTTTATTGATTATTCCTTTTCGTTAGCTACTAGCTAGATGGGATTGTTGACTGCGCTGCTGTGGTGACCAGCAGTCTGTGCACCAACCTTCAGGGTTAAAGGCTGGTGAATTAGCAGTTATACACTACTTTAACTCCAGTGTTTAAGACTATTTATTGTTAAAACTGTGTTAGAACGACCGGCAGAGCTTTAATTTACTATAAAGGAGGAATATTTTTATTTTTACCTAAAAATCTAATTCTGCTGTGGAGCCGCAACAGGACAGTTAATGAGCCGCATGTTGCTGACCTCTACCTTAGAGTTAAATGGGCTGTTTGTTTTACTGTATCTTTAAGAGTGATATATGTAAATATCCTCTGTTCTATACTGTGCCTCACTGAAAAAGGGCAGCCCATGCTGAAACACTCTTTGTAACTCCAGCTGAATAGGTGGACAAATGTGCTTGTTATTATAGAATACAATGACAAAATAACTTGATTTTGAGGTAAAATTCTGTTGATATGAAAAATGACATGATTCAGAATGATTGCAGTAAATTTTCTACAAAATGATGCACATGCTTGCCAATTAAGGGCAAGTTTTGAAATGAGTGCAGTGTGAATAATTTCTTCATGCATGAGAAACAGTAAGATGCAAAAGAATTTTGTAGTCTTTTATCCTGCACACTTGAACAGGGAGGTTTGTGTGCCTGAATATAGAATCCTGCATTCAAACAATG